ATTTGGATATTTTGAGTATGTTGGCTGTCTCCTGCTATTGGCTTTTAATGGGTAGAGGCTAGGGGTGCTGCTAAACATCTTCCAATGCATAAGACATCCCCACAGCAAAGAATTATTTGGCCAAAATGTCAAACTACTTTTGACATGTTTGATCAGTCACAGCACCTTCTCCATATACTGCACAAATCTTTTTTTTGTGTTTCAGTTGCACTTTTACCTTTCTTGAAATAATAAACCATACTATGCTATCAGCTGATTTCTCAAAAGAAACCTTGCAGGCAAGAAGGGGCTGTAAAAAGTATTCAAAGTCATGAAAGACAAGGACCTACATCCAAGATTACTCTACCCAGCAAAGCTATCATTTAGAATGGAAGGACAGATCAAGTGCTTCTCAGATAAGGTCAAGTTAAAGGAGTTCATCATCACCAAGCCCCTATGAACAGTAAAATGACAGCAAACTGGCAACTATCAACAACTGAACCTAAAAAAAAAACAAAAAACAAAAGCAAACTAAGCAAACAACTAGAACAGGAACAGAATTATAAAAATGGAGATCAGAGGGAAGGGTGATGGGGGAGAATGAGGGGAAAGGTACAGGGAATAAGCAACATAAATAGTAGGTACAAAATAGGCAGGGGCAGGTTAAGAATAGTATAGGAAATGAAGAAGCCAAAGAACTTACATGTATGACCCATGGACATGAACTAAAGGTGGGTAGGGAGAATGCTGGTGGGAGGGGTGGTGCAGGGTGGAGGGGAATAAAGGGGAGGAAAAAAAGGAGACAACTGTAATAGCATAATCAATAAGATACATATATAAAAAAAGCATAATATGCTGAATATGTTGCATTATCTTCTTCCATATTCAATACTAAAATGGCTGCACAAAAATCACCAGTTTTGGTAAAATTTTTTTAATGCACACTGATATGACAGCTGTCAAATACAGTCTCACAGAATTGTTTCCAATAAAGTTAAAGACAACTAAGCACTTACTAGAGCCATTGAATGGAAAAAATGTAACAGACTTTTTGGCCAATCCAGTATTAGAAACTAAGCTGAAGATTCTAACCACAGATGTAAATTAGGCAAGATGGGGCTGTTTGGGAATGTGTCTGTCTGTCTGTCTGTATGCTCATCTGTTGTCTGTCTGCTCATCTGTCTATCCATCCACATCTATCCCTCATCCTAAAGGAAATTTGAAAGAGAAAATTAAAAATTACATGACATCTTTCTTGCATGTTGTAAATAAGGATATTTTGGGAAAAGTGTGAAAGTAACCAAAAGGGGACCTGTGAAACCAAACCATGATAATCCTTTTATAAAATAAGGATTAAATAATACTTCCTAGAATTTATGTACTGTTACCTGTCTGGAATATACTTAGGAAAAAAAAGGAAAGAAAATGTTCCTATAGCATTGTCAGTTCAGCAGAGAGTATATGTGGCAAAGTGAAATATCTTTTTTTCCAAACATGGAGTGGTAAGAACTCTGATTTGTTAGTAACTAGGAAGTTTTGGCAGAGTCATTTAGAAAATAAGCACATTTCTTTTAGAACACAAGGAAATTATAACTATGAGAAGAAATAATCAGAAGGGAAGCCAAGCTTCCTTTTGAAGGTGACAAGATAGTAAAAGTATTAAAAGAATTGAAGGCCCTAAGAGAAAAAGGTTAAAGCCAAAGATCTTCAAGAACTAAAGAGACTTATCTATATTTAGAAATGATTAATGCAAAGAAATAAAACATAAACTTGAAGAAATTGGAGCAAATGTTAAAAATAAGAAACCAAGTGGAAGAAGTCTTTATAAACAGATTCAAGATGGTAGAACACATAAGAGTAAAGCCAAAATTAAGTTATTGTTTTACATACAAGGAAGTGTCAAGCTAAGTAAAAACACATTCAGATTTCCATAAAAGGACAACATCAAATGTTAGAAGAATTCTTTATCAAACCATTTTAGGAGCTAGATAAGATTTTGGAGGTGAGGTATACATGTGGAGGGAAAAGGGATCAGATGCCTATAATATTGCAGTGTCAAAAAGATGTTCAGATAATTTAGTGGCAGACATCTAGATTCTAAAAGTGAGCAATGTAATAAAATTACTGTAGCTGAAAGAGAACTTCTGGGTTTAATGATCTGCCAGTTGGGCTCTGTGACATCTTCAAGCAAATCTTTGGCACCTCTGTTCAAAGGCACACATGGAAGGTCAGGTAACTAGTACAATGAAACTAGTGTTAATAGGATGAGAGAGAAATTGGGAACTGGTACCTACTGATAACACTAAATACTGAATATAAAGTTTTTTCTGAGAATCCTGTTGGAAAGATTGACAGGAATAAAAGAGAACATGAGGTGCCAAGAGAACAATATGCTATAAAGGGTTCTGAGAAGCTAACTGAAAAATCTTTCTATGGCAAAGGAAAGGGAATAAATTCACTATGCTTGGATTAAGAAAAGGCTTTTACTGAAACATGCTATTTTTTTTAATACCCTGTAAAATATATTGTTTCAGACCACCTTTTGAAATGTGAGTACTTCATCTATGAGCCATGGGGATCAGTGTCTCCATTCTCAATAAAGAAGATTGAAGAGAAAATTAAAGTGATAAGAATAAAACAGTTCTGCCCATATGACCTTTTTTTATTTTTGTAGTCCGTAGATTGAATTTTCCTTCCTCCATTAAAAGAATTTTTAAGTGTGTGAGGATATAAAAGAGACAGACCAGGAAAGCTGAGGCCACTCATAGCTTTGTGTTCAAGAATAGTATTTCTCTAGCAATTTCAAAAGCAAGTTTAAAATAAAGAGTACAGAAAGAAAAAAAAAGTACAAGGAAGCTGTAATAGCATCACAAAAATGGATAAAAAAAACAAAGTAATACAAATTTGTTGAGAACAAGTATAAAGTATGGTTGTGTTCATAGGAGGGACAAAAATGAAAAAAAATTGGATCATGAAAATAAAGGAAATGGGAAGATAGGCCAATTAGAAGTTATTCGAGAGCATGCTTAGTGATCAACTGATCTTATAGCTGTTGGTGTTAGTTTTTCCTTCTGCCTCTGCAGCTTTGCATCAGTGATCTCATTGCCTTGGTTTTAATTGCCATTTTTATGCTAATGATTCTTAAATTAATGCCTGAGCTCCAGACCCACTTATCTACCTGCCTACTAAAGATCTTTTTTGGGGTATGTCACAAGTGCCTCAAATTCAACAGGTCCAAATTTGGAAAAATCATCTCCATACTTCTCCCCACTCGAAATCTGTTTCTCCTGTGTTTCTCTTTTATGGACTATTGTAATCTTACTCATCTAGTTCCCCTGTTTTAGAAGTGTAAATATACTCCTTGATGTCTCTTCTTTTATTCCTATATCTGATCAATCAGCACGGCTATTCATTCTTCCCCTTTGATAGCTCTCACATATGAGGTCTGTCCGGAAAAGGTCCAGCCATTGTTAATGTAATGAGAACATTTTGCATGACATCAATGTAACCTGGCAGCCAAGGAGACTGGACTGGAATGCACATGTGTGAACAATGACGACTTCACTGTGCTAGTCAGTGAGGGCAGTAGACGCCATTGAGCGAGCAAATGTGTTGTGTAGCTGTCACATTCAAAATGACTGAGCGAATAGAGCAACGAATCTACATCAAATTTTGCGTTAAGTTTGAACATTCCTCCACAGAAACTATTCGGATGATTCAGAAGGCTTTCTGGGATGCTGCAATGAGTGCTGAGCAAATAAAAGTGTGACATAAACCAAAGATGGTCAAGAATCTGTTGAAAGTGATCCATGTTCATGAAGGCCTGCAACAAGCAGAACATCTGAGAATGTTGAACATGTACAGTCTGCAATCAACCAATATTCGTGACTGACAGTGTGAGAACTAGAAGCTGATCTGGGGATTCCAAAAACTACTGTGTCTGAGACACAGGATCTTGACATGAAACATTGTCCTATGTACAATGTTTTTTGTATCCTGTTCAATAAATGTCTATTTTGCATATTACATGGCTGAACACTTTCTGGACAGACCGCACATATATTTCTCTCTCTGTTGTAATTCTGTTAATTTAGACCAGGGGTTGGCAAACTTTCTATAAGGATCCACATAGTAAATACTTCAGGCTTTGTAGTACATATGGTGTTTGTCACAATCACTGTAGGTACAAAGCAGCCATAGACAATATGTAAGTGTATGGGTGTGTCCCATCAGACTTTATAGACACTGAAATTTGAATTTCATATAATTCATGAAATATTATTTTTCTTTTGATTATTTTTACCTTATAACTATTTAAAAATGTAAAAACCCTTATGGAGGATCACTTCATAAGTTATATAAATGTCTAATCACTCTATTTCACACCTGAAACTAATGTAATATTGAATGTCGTCTGCAATTGGAAAATTTAAAAAAATTTTTTTAATGTAAAACCATCCTTAGCTAGCCAACCTTACAAAAACAGGCAGGAAGCCAGATTTGGCTTATAGGCCATAGTTCGCCCACCCCTGGCTTAGACCAACATTTTTTCTCATCTGAAATACAACAGTAGTCTCTTACTCTCCTAGAATACAGTGATCAGAGCAATGAGTCCTATGTAATAACTGTTATTCTATGGAAGCTTGATAAGCATTAATTACTTTTGATTCGACATTAACTAATTCAAACAATTCTATTTAAATGTAGAGTTTGTAAGAGGTCTCTTCTGATTACATTTTGGGGAAAAAAACATAACCGTTAAGCAATATTCAACAGAAACTAAAACTTTTGAAAGTTGTTATATTATATATTAAGTAAAATGAATATTCTTGTGCAAATTTAAAATGAATATCACAAAGTCAGAATTTATCTCTAATTCTTTTTGGAAAGAGGTGTTGCGTATATTGATACTATGAGGATTTTTTGCATTTATGATCAAGGTCAAAGTGAATGTGAGGAAAAACGTAAGTATGAGCAGAATTATATATTCTATACTAAAATAATAACTTAATTTTTTTCAGGTTAAACTACAGACCAACATATCATATCAGATGGCAGACATTCATCATTTAAAGGGTAAGAAATTGAATTAAGATTAAAGATAAAGTCACTAACTGTTTAAAATCCTTAAGAATTAAGAGTAGTGAAACAGCTAACTGAAATAATGTTTTTTAACAAAGCTCTTCTGATGGCAAAACATTTACCTTTTTGCTTTAAGATATATAATAAATTTAAATATTGTTTTAAATATAATAAATACAAGTTAAAATTTGAGGCCAACATTTTAGTCTTGTGCTGTAGACAGAGTTCATGCAATGAAATGTTTTAAAAGAATCCACAAAGAATAAAATAATAATAATAATAATAATAAAGAATCCTCATAGAAAATTGAACTGTAGTTTCAGAGATCACTTAATTTCCAGGGAAAAGAAAGGGGGCGATCCCTCTGTACTGTGTCCAGTCTGCTAAAATAATCCATTCTGGTTTAGAGATGCTTTGCACAGGTCCTCCAAGCTTATAATGTTTTAGATACCCTAGGGAACAGAAGGGAACCTGGGAAGGCACATATTTTTTCATTTAGATGAAGTGATAGGAGATGACTAAAGCTTTTACTGGAAATAATACATAAGGAAAACAAGCTCTATGCTTTGTTTGCATTACTGCACACCATCACTGACCTATGGAATTTGGGATCTGAGGACCACCCTTCTTCCCCTTTACACCCTTTGGTTACAACACTGTGTATTTTAAAAGTTTGCATGCAGTGACTTTAAATTTATATGTATGGGTAATACATGCTCTCTAATTTCATAAATACATCTTTATTCTATAACCATTTTGAACCTCTTTAGATAGAGTTAGATAATACATTTTTATCATCCTCTTGGAGAAGCCAGCCCTAGCTGGTTTTGTAATTTATTAAAGTTTTGCTTTTATCTAGCAAAATCATTGGAAAGTGTTATTTGTGTGTTGTATCCAAAAATAGGAATTACTATTTTTTTACTATCTGTGATTTAAAACAGCTTTGATTTTCAATTAGAAATTTGCTTCCTGAGTGTCCACATTAATTTTTGTTGCATTTCTGTCCATGTTCTGCTCTTTTTGACTCACAGGAGTGCATTAAGGTGACACAGAAAATGCCACACTGTCAATGCTGCTTCCAGATTGCAGTTTTTACAAATGATTCTGCTTGTCATCATAGTATATTCTTGTTGCATTTTAGTAGGTCAGTTGAATAAGAAATCTTGTGGCTTCTGCTAGTGTATGTAAAAAAAAAAAAAATGACAGTCTATGTTACTGAGTAAATATCTTTATTGTACCATATGTGTTGAAGTAGATCTTGAGATGTTTTGAAATTTTATATGATACTCAGCAGAGAAAAAGGTTTGGTTTGAACTCATAACTGTACAACTTTTGGTTTTGGATTAGTGCAGTTTTAAGACTGAATTTTATTAATGTGACTTTTGCACACTGTCAACTATTTCTACTGAAACAAAGTTCTTGATAAGTTGACTATAAAACCTAGACTTGACTATTTTCATTGAAATTAATACTAGATATAATGGAGATAAAACATACTAAAACCCTTAGAAATCTGTATAATAGTTAATATTTTCATGGAAATAAAAGGCATAAGAGTTGATTTTTAATTCCTGATACAGTAAATTAATATTGTGGTACATACTGATTTGTTTTGAATAGCTCACCTTATTTTTATGCTTATTACTAAAGGAAAATTTGAAATAAAAATTTCTAGAAGTAAATACTTCTTTGCTTGAAAAAAGGGTCCTAGGTCACCCCTTTCTTAACTATATCCCAAATCTTTTGAAGTTAAATTGAGGGAGTATGGCCATGTTTTTCTATAACATCCCCTGGTGTTACTGTCTGAGATAGAACATCCTGCACAATCAACCACGGACCTAATCCCCTGTTACGTTACACACTGTGGGAACCCTGCTGTGGTGACCTGGAGCAGCCACATTGTACACAGTGTCTTTGGGGGAAAACGTGATGTGACAATCAGTTGAAAGTAAAATTGTTATATAGGAAAATTTTGTCTTTAGGTTTGCTTTCTGTTCTGTTTATTTTCCCTTTTCAAGCCTTTGTTTTGACCACTCAAACACTAAATGAGTTCTCTGCTTTATAATCTTTCACCTGTGTTCAAACAGGAAAGAATTTGTTATTGTACAGGGACTGGAACTCAGTGATGTTTTATTTTTCTTTGTCAGTTGTATTTTAAGCCTTTTATCTCCATTTAGAAATGAAAACTTTATTTTCTGATAAAGGAATTTTAGATATTGTTAGAAGCTTTGTGGAGAGGCAGAGAAACCATCTTAAATCTTGAAATCATACTATATCTTGAAATCATGCTATAGAGAGAGAGAGAGAGAGATCAATATAGATATCTATATAAAATATATCTATATATTTAAATTGCATTAACTTTTTACTTCTAGAACCTTTCCTGCCTGAGCACAGGTTCTCTGAACTGTCTAACTCTGTAAGCTACAAGGCTTTTTGTTACTGCTTCCTGCTGGGTCTCAGTGTCTCTGTAGATGCAGCATCCATAGGGGATGCCAGAATTTCTGCTACCTCTAGCCCTCTATATTTTAAGAGATAGGGCCAGGGATAAGATAGCAAGCGGAATGTGTTCAGGGATACTTGGCCTCAGGATTTGTTACTTTTATCTGAAATGGGGGTAACGGGTGAAAAACTGGGGAGTTTAACCATGTTTACATATTGGAGAATTAATAAGAGTAAGAAGAGAAATTTAAAATGTGGCTTGACTGAACTCATAAAAACAGGGACTAGAATAGTGGTTTCCAGGGGTTGGGGAGTGGGGTCAGTAGGAGGAATGAGGGGATATTGGTTAAAGTGTACAAGCTCTTAGTTATGAGGTAAGTTTTGGTAATCTAACATACAGTATGGTGATTATAGTTAACAGTACATTTTTATATAGATGAAAGTTGCTAAGAGAGTAGATCTTAAATGTTTTCACCACAAAAAAGAAATGGTCATTTTATGAGATGATGGAGGTGTTAGCTAATGCTACAGTAGTAATCATTTCACAGCAAGTGAAGAAAATCAACATGTTTATACCTTAAACTTATATAGTGTTATATCTCAATGAAAAAATATTTTTAAATAAACAAAAAATGTGTCTTGAATATGTTAACATATTGATTAAATACAAGCATTTTATGTGCTTGCATTACTATATTACCTGATGTTATATTATACAATAGCTATTATTATGCATATTGTTAAATTTTCTTATATACCTCAGCTAATACTCATGTGACTTCAAAAGTTTTATTTGTTGTCATTGCCACAGTTGGGATTTCACAATAAAATCTAGAAAGAGGAAAAGAAATTGCTCAGATTTCCAACACTAAACATAATCGCTAGTATTACTTTGATATATTTTTTACATTATATTTTATGTATTATTATTTTTTTTCATAGAATAACATTTTATTCATGGTTTCATTTTTTAAGTTATGTATTTATTTATTTGGAATTTTTAAAAAAAATTTAAGTCATGCTTATTCTATTACAGTTGTCTCAGTTTTTCCCCCTTTACTCCCCTTTACTCCCCCATCCCACCCCAACCTCTACTCCCACAGTCAATTCCCACTCTGTTGTCCATGTCCAAGAGTCATTCATACATGCTCTTTGTCTAGTCCCTTCCCCTTCTTTCCACGATTGTCCTCTGTCCCCATCCCCTCTGGTCACCTTCAGTCTGCTCCATGTTTCCGTGCCTGTGGTTTATTTTGTTCGTTAGTTTATTCTGTTGAATAGATTCCACTTATAGGTGAGATCATATGGTATTTGTCTTTCACCAACTGGTTTATTTCACTTAACATAATATTCTCCAGTTCCATCCATGTTGTAGCAAAAGATGGGAGTTCCATCTCTCTCTTTCTTTCTTTCATTCTTTCTTAAATGCAGATTGATTTTATTTATTTTTTCAAATGTCAAAGTCAATTATGAAATATTAAAAAATTGAAAACCATTATAAAGTCTCAGCAATTAAACCAACACGACACCAGCACAGAAATAATCAAGTAGATCAATGAAATATAACGAGCATTCTAGGAAAAAATGTGTATATCTAACAATATAATATATAATTAAATTGATATTTCAAATCAATGGGGAAGATAAGGCCTATTGACCTAATAAGGTGCATGGACCACTATTACTTGAAATAAAACAAATATAGAGACCTATGTCACTCATTATACAAGAAATATTCAGGTGAGTTACAAATCAATATGTAGAATCTGAGTTTTAGGAGAAAATACAAACTAATATTTTTATTACCTTGAAGTAAAATAGTCAAACCCAGAAGCTAATAAGTAAAATATTGACAATATCACTATATTAAACATTTAAGACTATGTAATAATACACTTATAAAAAAAGTTAAAGGACAAGGAATAGAATAGGAAAGTATTCGCCACACATTGAAAAAAGGGTTAATAGTTGGTTTTTTTTGTTTCTCTTTTTAGGGGAAAAAATTCTACAAACCTTTAATCAATAAATGGATTAAGAATACCAGAAAGTCATTTAAAGCTTTTAAAAAAAAAATAATAGAAATAGCCAAGAGATATACAAAAACAGGTTTAGTTTCAACAAATAATAACGGAACAATTAAAATCATATGTTTATATATTTACTACATAATATATTTAATATATTATATACCTATATATTTAATATGTATATTGTAATATGTAATATGTGTATATTTAATATATATTTATGTAATAATATATTAAATATATAATATGCTATAGTATATATAGTATATTATATGTTATATAATATAAAATATTTATACTTTATATTAAAAAGTATCATTTTATTATGTAATAAAATATAAACATGTACTTATATAATACATTTGCATATTTATATAAAATATATTTAATATATACTTATACACATATTTAATATATACTATATTTATATAATATATTTAATGTAGTGTATATTTAATATATAATATATTTATATAATATACTTCATGTATTATATATTTATGCAGTAGATAATGTATTTAATTTTTACATTTTTTTACATTTTTATTTTTTTAAATTTATAAGTCATGTTTATTCTATTACAGTTGTCTCAATTTTTCCCCTTTGCCCCCCTCCACCCATCCCACCCCACCCCCCACTCCCACAGTCAATTCCCACTCTGTTGTCCCTGTCCATGTGTCATTCATACATGTTTTTTGTCTAGTCCCTTCCCCTTCTTTCCACCATTGTCCTCTTTCCCCATCCCCTCTGGTCACTTTCAGTCTGCTCTGTATTTCTGTGCCTGTGGTTTATGTTGCTTGTCAGTTTATTTTGTTGAATAGATTCCACTATGGTATTTGTCTTTCATCAACTGGTTTATTTCACTTAGCTTAATATTCTTCAGTTCCATCCATGTTGTTGCAAAAGGTAGGAGTTCCATCTCTGTCTTTCTTTCGTTCTTTCTTTCTTTCTTAAATGCAGATTGATTTTATTTTTTTAAATGTGAAAGTTAATTATAAAATACTAAAAATAAATTTAAAGCCATTATAAAGTCTCAGCAATTAAATCAACATGATACCAGCAAAGAAATAATCAGTTAGATCAATGAAATATAATAAGCATTGTAGAAACAAATGTATATCTCTGTCCAACAATATAATATATGATTAAGTTGACATTTCAAATCAATGGGTAAAATAAGGCTTATTGAACTAATAAGGTACATGGACCACTATTACTTGAAATAAAACAAATATAGAGCCCTATTTCATACATTATACAAGAAATTCTCAGGTGAGTTAAAAATCAATATGTAGAATCTAAGGAGTTTTAGGAGAAAATAGAACTAATATTTTTCATGACCTGAAGTAAAATATTCAACCCCAGAAGCTATAAAGTAAATATTGACAATATGGCTATATTCAACATTTAAGACTATGTAGTAATACACGTATAAAAAAGTTAAAGGACAAGGAATAGAATAGGAAAGTATTTGCAACATATCTAAAAAGGGTTAGTAGGGTTTTTTGTTTGTTTGTTTTTTAGGGAAAAAAGTTCTACAAACCTTTAATCGATAAATGGATATAGAATACCAAAAAGTCATTTAAAGCTTTTTTAAAAATAATAGAAATAGGCAAGAAATATACAAAAACAGGTTTAGTTTCAACAAATAGTAAAGGAACAATTAAAATAACATTATTGTCACAATCTGATTAATGAGTATTAAAAATATTGGTAATATCAAGTATTGGCAACTCTGAAAGGAACTAGGTATTCATAGAAACTTTTTCTTCATCTTAAAGCAGTCCCTTTAGAGTATTTTGCAGTGCTGGTTTGGTGGAGGTGTATTCTTTAGCCTTCTTTTGTCTGGGAAACTCCTTATTTTGCCTTCCATTTCAATTGAGAGCCTTGCTGAGTAGAGCAGTCTTGGTTGCAGGCCTTTGCTTTTCATTCCTTGGAATATTTCTTGCCAGTGTCTTCTGGCTTGCAGTGTTTCTGTTGAGAAGTCAGCTGCTTGCTGTACTGGGGCTCCATTATATGTTACTACTTCTTTTTCCCTTGCTTGCTTTAGGATTCTCTGTTTGTCTTTGATATTTGCCATTTTAATGATGATGTGTCTTGGAGTGGGTCTCATTGGGTTCCTCTTGAATGGGACCCTCTGTGCTTCCTGGCCTTGTGTGACTTTTTCTCTCCTCCAATTAGGGAAGTTTTCCATCATGACTTTTTCAAACAGGTTCTCTATCCCTTCCTCATCCTCCTCTCCTTCTGGTATCCCTATTATACGGATATTAATTACGTTTCATTTCCCTAAATACGTTGCATTTCCTTAAATGCCTCTTCATTCTTTTTGAGTCTTTTTTCATTTTCTTGCTCTTTCTGGGAGCTTTTTTTCTACCTTGTCCTCCAGCTCGCTGATTTGATCCTCTGCTTCATCTAGCCTGCTTTTGATTCCTTCTACTGTGTTCTTCAATTCAGAAATCGTATTCTTCATTTCCTCTTGTCTCTTATTGATAGTTTCTATGTTCTTTTTCATGCTGATATAGTTTGCAGTAAGTTCCTCGTAGTTTCCCTGTAGATTTTTGTAATTCTCTCTGAGCTCACTGAGCTCATTGAGCTTCCTTAGAATCGTTCTTTGGAACTCAGTATCTGGTAGTTTACTTCCTTCTATTTCATTTCGCTGTCTTTGTGGGGATTCCTCCTTTCCCTTCGAATGGGGGATATTTCTTTGTCTTCCCATTATTTGTAAGACTCTTCTTTTTTGCCTCTGATTCTTATATTGATCTGTCTTGATTTCCTGACTGTGGTGTGAAATTCTATGGTAGGAGACCGCTGTTTTTACTTTCTGGATCTGCCTCTCATGATATCAGAAGTTGTCCCTGTCTGACGTTAGGCAGTCTGCTTGAGACTTCCAGAAATCTACTGTCTGTGGCTGTCTCCGTCAACTGTTAATCTAGTCACTCTGCCCCCAGCAGGTTGCCTTAGACAGCTCGGGGTGGGACAGAATCCCTACTGGGGGCGCGGTTATTGGGTCCTCTCCTGTTGCCCTATGGGGGAGGAGTCTGCACTGGGATCCCGCTGGCTACTCTCTCCACTCTCTCCCCAAAGCTTCCATCCTCAGTCTCTCCTCAAGTGTCTCCAGATCTCTCTGTGCCCCCTTTAGCCAGCAATCTACTGTCTGTGGGCTGCCAGTCCGCACTCAGCAGGTGGCTTAGACAGCACAGGGTGGGGTGGAATCCCGCCTGGAGGCGGGGCTATTGGGTTCTTTGATGCTGGTGCCCTTCAGGGGGAGTGGTCTGTGCCTGAGCAAGATGGCTGCTGCCACATGGGGGATGAGTCAGTGCCGGCATCCCGCTGCCTACTTTCTCAGTTTTCTCTCCAAAGCCTTCTTCCCCAGTCTCCCCTCAGGGTCTCTAGCCTACTCTGCCCCCACCTTTACCAGAGACCATGGTAAGTGGCTGCAAATAAAATGTATGCGTTTGTCCTTTAAACAGTTCTTTGCGTCTCCAGCCGCCTGTCTCTGGCAGAGAGCAACCCTGCCAGAACCCAGCTTTTTGCAGCTGGCTATTTTCTGTGTACTTTTGGGGCTCTGGTGTTGTGGGCTAGAGATCCCTGCTTTTGGTTTAGACCCCGCTCTTCTCGGTGGGGGATCCAACTGGCTGTTTCAATATCCTTCAGGTGCTGCTGCCCGTGGGCGCCCTGCCTGCCTTCTCAGCTCTATACTACACTCCTTACCAGTTAGATTGCTCTAAAGCTGATTCTTCTGTCTCCAAGGTTACAAGGCTCCTCTCTCGCTCTTGTTCAGTTGTTTGTTCCAGGTGATTTCTCCACAATTTAGTTGTAATTCCACGTTGGTCCTGGGAAGAGGTCAGTGTGACATCCACTTACTCCTTTGCCATCTTGAAAAAATAATATATTATTAAATATATGATTAGTAAGTATATTAAATATAAAATCAATAAATAAAGTGAATATATTTAATATATTATTAAATACATAACTAATATTAAATATATAATTAATAAATCTTTTTTTTTTATTTTTAAATCATGTTTATTCTGTCACAGCTGTCTCAGTTTTTCCCACTTTGTCCTCCTCCACACATTCCAGCCCACCCTTCTCTCCCACAGTCAATTCCCACTCTGTTGTCCATGTCCATGGGTCATTCATACATGTTCTTTGTTAGTCCCTTCTCCTTCTTTCCACCGTTGTCCTCCTTCCCCATCCCCTCTGGTCATATATTTAATTTTATATTAAATGTATGTTTATATATCTTTAATATTATATATTTCTTTGTAATTATATGTAAATATATGTTTACATCTGCTTTTTAAAAACTTATATTGCAAGCATATTTGGAGTATCTTTAAAGTAATAAGACTACATCTATAAGCCTACATGCAAGGTAGATGTTTTATTATACCTATAATATTGGTACTTCTGGGTAGACATATTTTAGCCTTAATAGATATTGCTTATATAGAATATACCTCTCTTCTCATTTGTAAAAATTAAGATTGTCTTAACTACTACTTTTGTGTTCTGCTAAGGCTGTTAAGTTAATTTCTTAATCATCTAAGAAAATGACACCTCTTCTCTGGCTAAATTTCTTTTTACTTGTAAGGTCAGATGAAGAGAGAGCAGCTCTAGAAAATGTAGGGCCACAGATAATGGATAAATGGTCACAAAAGAGCATCTGGCCCAGCTTTTAACTTACTTTCTAGTTCAGAATTTTATATCATTCATTATAACTAAAACTTTCAGCCTTAGTCCAGAAATTGTGAGCTTTGAAAATGGAATTTTTTTATATGGGGACCAAACATCAGTAGCAGAACTAGAAATGAGATCTAAAGTGACTATCACCTAAGTTGGGAATCAAATGTGATTTAAAATAAAAAAGAAACCTTGAATTATGTACCCATAGCAAACATATTTTAAAAATGATTTTCCTGCCTACTTTTATAAAGCAGATAGGCTTAAAGAGGTAGGTAAGGTATTGTTTTGTTTTGTTTTGGGTACTGTTTTCATAGCTTATATGTCTAGATAATGTGAAAATATGTAATATTTTAATATTCCTGATTGATGTGAAAGCTATTGAGACTATCGTTTTTTTAAAATAAATTTTATTTCCTCATGCATGTGTTATAAAAGGCAATTAAATTGGGTACTAATTATATAATTTAACTGAATAAAGAAGTTGAGAAATATATATAATTTTTAAAAATCCCATAACTTCTCACTTTGAGTAAACTCTATTCTTTTGATTCTTACATTGTGTGCCTAGAGCAACTTGCTGAGCTTCGTCAGGAGTTTCTTCGACAAGAAGACCAGCTTCAGGACTATAGGAAGAACAATACTTACCTTGTAAAGAGGTTAGAATATGAGAGGTAAGGTGCTACATTCAACAAATATTTATGAATCTGAAATAGCTGGCCAATTTTTAGACAATTCGTTTTTTCCTTTCTGGCTTCAGTTTTCCCTCTCTCTCTCTCTTTCTTTCTTTCTTTCTTTTTCTTTTTTTCTTTTTTTTTTTTTTGTTTTCTTAGATCTTTTAAATTGGTTTCCTGTTGTCTTTCTATTTTCTCTTTGAAGTCTGCACTCTTTTATTTTGGTATGTTTAACACCATGATAATACCTCTTACAAGGCATGCTGTGTCTGCTTCTATAAGAAAGAAAATCTTGCCTGATTTTACTGAATTAGATGTGGCAAAGACTGAAAGGAGATTAAGTGTCTGTGATTCTTTTTGAGGGGCATCCAGAAGATGAAGACAGCACTGGGAGGTGTCCTCAGAATAGCTAAGAACTGAGTGCCAGCTGCTTCTCCTGCTCTTTACTTTAGGTCCCTTGTTTACAGTGCTGCACTTAGTTGGTGATGAGGTTGGGGAACCTCATAGTTGCTTTTCTAGCAATCACTCTTTTTGAAATGTTTTTTCTTTCTTTATTTTTATTGTTGACACTATTGCAGATGTCCCCATTTGGCCTCCCCGCTTTGCCCTACCTCCTCAGCCCCTGTTCTCCCTTCCCTCTGGCCATCACCGCACTGTTGTCTGTGAGTTATGCATATATGCTTTTTTGCTAATCTCTTCACCTTCTTTCATCCAGTCCTTCCCACCCCCCTCACCTGTAACAGTTGTCAGTCTGTCCCATGTATCCATGCCTCTGTTTTTATTTTGTTTATCAATTTATATCTTTTATTAGATTCCACATGTAAGGGAGATCATATGGTATTCGTCTTTCTCTGACTGGCTTATTTCACTTTAGCAATCACTCTTTAGAAACCTTTATTATATCTGATAGATTTTACAGTAAAAAGTATTTTTAGGTTTGCACACCATAAATTGGAAACATTCACTGTATTTTAAAGTATAATTTACCCATTTCTGACTTCTTACTCTTGTAGGTTATCAATATGCATCTGCTTACATATATGTATTTAGACCTAACAGTATTCAGTAATTTTCCATACTCCTGTAGGATTAAGGGTTTAGGATATTTAGAGGTAATATATTATTTCAGCCTGTTAATGTACCAAAGCTTGTTTAATCTCTCCCAATTGCTGAACCATTAGAGTAGTTATCCTTTTCTCACTGTTATAACTATCAGCTCCAAAATCTTTATGCAAAAAGGATTTTTCCCCTCTTATATTATTTCGCTGGTATATATTCTCAAAAACAGAGTTGCTGAGGTAGAATGTTTTAGTGCTTTTGTTGCTTATTACACATATATGAAAGATTGCTTTCTAACATGATGGCATTAATTTCTAATGTAAATGTTTTCCTGTAGCCCCACCAACATGGGCTTTTATAACTTTAACTTATTTTTGTGAGTATGGGAATAAGGTAATACCATAAGTATATATAGGAAATTTAATTTGCATTTTAATGGTGAAAGCTAAAAATTTTTTTAAAGATTTTATTTATTTTATTTTTAGAGAGAGGGGAGGGAGGGAGAAAGAGAGGAAGAAAAACAGCCACCTGTGAAAAATGTGCCTCTCGCATACCCTCAACTGGGGACCTGCAACCCAGGCATGTGCCCTGATCAGGGCTCAAACTGGCAACCTTTTGGTTCTCAGACTGGCTCTCAGTCCACTGAGCCACACCAACCAGGGCTAAAATTTTTTTATATGTTAACTATTTGTTTCTTTTTGCATGAACCATCTATTTTTATCCTTTAACTACTGAGCAGTGGAAATTTACAGTCTTTACAATTTTTTGTTTCCATTTTTCTTGATAGTTAATCTATTGTATTAGTTTCTTCCATTCTTGCTCTTCCTTTTTAAAATGTTTTATTTTTATTACTGATTTTAACCTACCCATTTTTAGAGGGAGGAAGAAACATCAATTTATTTCCTTGCTTGCTTTGTGTGTGCCCTGACCAGAGATCTAATCCTCAACCTTAGTGTATCAGGATGATGCTCTAACCAACTGAAGTACTTGGCCAACACCCATTCTTGCTGTTCTTATGGTTTAGACTTTTATTATTGTGTTAAAATACTAACTCTTGGGTGAATCATCTGCTGCCACTCCTACTAACTCTCATGATTCTATTTTTTCTCATCTGTTACTATATTTTGGTCTCACAGTTTTCTATAGTGTTTTTCTCTTCTGTGATTGAAATTGGCTTTGGCGATTGCTTTTTTATAAATGAAATTTTTTAAAATAAACTTTTATCTTTTTAATTTCTGTTTTTTTAAAAACATAGCTTTATCAGTATTCTTTATCCTCTATTACATATTCAAATATTTTAAGAATTTTGACTATGAGCTATATTTATGTCTGCTCTTTGTCCTTCCTTGCCCACTCTTCTAATTGAATGCTTCATTTTTGTAAATGTAGGTTTTAAACTTCTAGACAACTTTCAGAATCCAATCCAAGATAATATAGTCTAAAAAATGACTTTTTAATTTAGTTTTCAGTGTGGACAACAAATCAAGGAATTAAGAGCACAGCATGAAGAAAAAATAAAAAAATTAGCAGACCAGTTTTTGCAGGAACAAAAGGTAAATGAAAAAAGAATACTAAATCAAAGTATGTTCTTGTTATAAATCCTGTAATTTAGAAATTAAAATACGCTCTTGTCATAAAACATTGTATTTTAGGTATCCTAGCCTGCCTACTTCTAAAAATGATTTGCAGTACTTTATTGCTGAGTAAATTAGATATTTGCAAAAATATAACCTTAACTCTTAAAACTGATTTTAGCTAAATATCTTTTATCTGACTTTCAAAAATAACTTTTGCTCTTAATATAGTTCTCAGATTGTAAAAATGGAAAAGATTTTACTGAAAAATCAATTCTTCTTCTATGCTTTTGAGAATCAGAAAAATAATTGAGAAACTTTCTCCTTAATTATAAATCTCTGTTATTCTGAATTCCTTTTTTAAAACATAGAAATGAAACAGTAGACACTATTTTGATGTATATTTTTGGGAGTGGCAAGTTTTTAATTAATATATCCATTTTCAGTTGATATACAGGGTCTGGCAGAAGTAACACCTGCCTAAGTGTGGGTTGGTAGAGTTGTGATATGGGTGTAATAATTTATAGTTTTAATTTGAACATTTCACCTAAAATGTCATGTGGTGTGCTTGAGTGTGATGTTACAGAATTACATGCTTATGATACAGAATTACATGCTTATGATTTTGTCATAAAATATTTTATAATAAAAAAGGGGTGTTATATGTGCTGGACCCTGTATATTACCAAAGGCCATGCTAGAAATGGAGGGAATTTTTCTAAAGATTATTAGTCATTGGAGACATTCATTTTTCTACACTTTATAATCTCATCTAACTAGCTGTTATTTGTAAAAAGTCTTGTGATTTAAAGAGAGGTTAAACAGTGAAAAATAATTATCTTGCTCTCTGGTAGCATGTCCTCTAAAGGACTAGAAGTTACAAAAATCAGATTTTCATTCTTGACTGTTTTACTGTTTTATAGCACAATATTGAGAGCATTGTTTTTTTCTGTATTTCTTTTTTTCAATCTACAAAGTGGAATAACTGCTGCCTGTCTGCAATCTACCTTGAAGAGATGTGGGAGTAGGTTGCTGGAAGATGGCAGGTCTGAATAAGCTAGTGGTATAGAGGCATTGAGAACAAGCAGAAGGTATTGTTGACACACTGGATAGCTAGAGGAGCACAGTAGAACACAAAAAGAAGGGGAAGAGACGTTGCTATTGCATTTGTGCTATTACAAGCCCATATAAATAAAGGGGTGAGTTTGCTCTCTGTTCCTTTAAGAAGCATAGTTGAGAGTTTTTCCCCTTTTCCAGTGTAGTTCTCTCTTTCTGCTTTTCTATAATGGGCTATTTTTATATTTTAATTAACATACTCTTCAGTAATTCTTTGCTTTTATCCTGCCCTAATTGGACCATGTAGGGAGGAAGAGGAAGGAGATGCTTAGAAAACTCCTTTCTAGGGTAACACACCAGCCCTTAAACTTTAGACCAGCTGCCTAATTCTACTTCCCATGCTTTTATTCCCTGTTCTTCACCTGCTGTAACAAGTTGATTCTGTGAAACTTGAGTTTTTTCATAGGAACAAATACAATGTAAGCTATATGAAAGCATATAGCTCTGGAGAAGGAGTCAACTAAATCCATCCTGCTTCCTGTTTTCCTACAATCCATGGACAAAGAGTGGTTATTACATATTAAAAATGGTTGAAAAATCAAAATATTTTGTGATGGGAAAATTGTAAACAACTTTCATTTTTGTGCCTATAAATAATCTTTTGGATTGTAGTCACACTCATTTGTTTACTGCTTTCATGCTATAAAGGAAGAGAAATTGTTGTAGACTGGTGGAGACTAAGGAGACCGGAGGATTTAAATGCAATGCAGCATCCTAGATTGGACCCGGGAACAGAAAAAGGACATAGTAGAAAAAGTGGTGAAGTCAGTAAAGGCTGGAGTTTGATTAATAGTATACTAATGTTAGCTTTTTAGTTTTGCAGGTGTGTACTGCTAATATAAGATGTTAGCATTGAAGGAAATTGAGTGAGAGTTAACTACTTTTCTGTGAAGTTAAAATTATTTCAGAAAAAAGTTTATTAAAAAAACAATTAGGTGCCCTTTTACCAAATCACCAACATTACACTTAGAAAACCCTCTTATTTTTTAAAGAATATTTAACATTGTCCATTCACATAAAGGTATAGTCACTAATAACACATCAAAGGGGCATCTTTGTTAACTAGTTAACTATGTTAAATGGAAGACAGTTTTTGAACATCAGTTCATTGACTTTTAAGTTTTGTTTATTATTGTTTGTTTTTTCCACATCTACAAAGCAGTTGAATACTATAAAAATAGCTTGTGATGTAGCGTATAGCATTATAGCAAAAATATACAGAGATGCAGAATAGCTGCTCAGGTTGTGCCTCATTGAATTTCTCACCCTGTCCTTTGTACTGACACGTACAAAAATTTCAGTTTATCTTTTCACTCATCAGCAATTAAGCTCTGAGATTTGGCTCTTGCTTACCAAATTCCCAGAAAATGTGGGAATGAGAAAGACTGTGCTTTGAATTCCTTCTCCACAATTCTCTAGCTTTGTATACTTAGACAAACGACGTAACTTCTTTAAGCCTCAGTTTTGTTTTTCCTCACACTGTTTATCTCTGCTAGAGGATAAATTTGAAAGGAATTTGTAAACTGTGAAGCACAGCACAAATGTTTGTTGTTGATTTTATCTGCCAGGCACACTGGAATTGTCAAAACACCTTTTTTCTTTCTATTTTTTAAAGATTTTATTTAGTTTTAGAGAGAGGAGAAGGGAAGGAGAAAGAGAGGGAGAGAAACATCCACATGAGAGAGAAACATCAGTTGGTTGCCTCTCACACATCCCCAACTTAGGACCTGGCTCACAACCCAGGCATGTGCCCCTGGTCTGGAATCAAACTGACAACCTTTTGGATCTTTTGGCCTGCAGGACGATTCCCCCCACCCCCGAGCCACACCAATCAGAGCACCCTTTTTTCTTTTTATTGTGACAAATTTTTAAATTTGACTCATGTAATTCTAGATTTCCTGTAGATTTTTTAGTATTTTTTAATAATATTACTTAATGATTACATTGCATAGTGCTTTACCAGAAACAAATCATACATAAATGCATTAAATATTAAGTATAAAGACCCATACTGCAACCGAAGCATGTCTACGTGACTCTTTGTCTGTCCCAATTTTCCACTGAGGCAGCTTAGCCAATACAAAAGAGAAAACTGACCCGCCAATAGAATTGAGTCAGGCCTAACCATAAGCCCACAGCACCCAGGATTATGTCCAGCTTTAGGCCTCCTCAGTAACCTACAGTGCTCGGTAAAACTCTCTTCTTACAGAACCATGCCCTTAGAATAGTCAAAGAGAATTACCTCTAACATTTTAGGCCATTTACAGTAATTAGAGTTTTAAAAGATGTTGGTTATTCTTTGACTTCATATCAGGTATAAAAACTGAACAGAAAATAATATATCCCACATCTCCAAGTGTTTGAAATTTGGACCCATGGTATATGTTTTTGAAAATGAATTGTTTCAGAACATTTAGTTAATTGTTATATCAATGATTTAATGTTTTGAACTGAAAAATACTTACTGTTAACCAAATCTTTATTTAACAGCAAGAGGCCCACAAGTTTGAATTAAAAGGTGGAAATGAATTGGGTGCAAACAATCATGAAGTATCTAAAAATGTTCCAAAAGTACCTGAGAATGCTGCAGATAAGAATGAAGACCCCTCAAGCAATCATATTCAACAGGGGAAAGGTATTATAATTGTTTTGTGTTAACAGCATAATGACTTTTCTTATTTTGAGGTGAATATCTTCAATCATAACAAATATTGTTTGATTTTAGTTCAGTTATAATTAGGTGTCTGTGTTGTTTCAAATTTGTATCCTTTGATAGAGAAAAAAGAGTAAGTTATTTTAGAGTTACAACTCTATGTCCAAAGCAAGATATAAAGATATTCAGTCAATGTGGCTTATTGTATTAGAAACTGATTGTTACCTTCCTTCAAAACAATTTCAATTTATGTAAGGAAAAATAAAGAATTATGTCTTTTGTTACTTGGGCAGAACAAATCAAACCAGGTGGTGATGCAGGAATGCCTGGAATAGAAGAAAATGACCTTGCAAAAGTTGAAGACCTTCCAACTGGTAAGTGAAAGTTAGTAGAATATTTAATGCGATATTATTTTTCACATGATCCTTTTCGTTTTTTGAGTAACGCTTGAGAAAAGTCACGGATATCTGTATGATTGATGTTTCTAGTTAATTAACTGCCCGTCAATTGCCAGGACTTAGTGTATATAATTTTTATGAAAAATTTTGCCTAAGCATTATATAGTATTTGTTTTTGCCTTCATAAGCGTCAACCATATTTGAACCTTTTCTTTTTTGACTCAGTTATTGTTCATTACACTTATGCTATGTTAGAGCCATTTATGTTTACTGAAAGGTTTGTATGGTTCATTTCTTTCAGACTAAATGTTCCCAGATTGCTATGTTGTTGGTGTGCTTTAATATGACATAATAATACTCTTAACATAGGTTTTTAGGACTTGGCTTATACTTTCAGTTAATTACGCCATACTTAAATAGTTTATTCACTATTTTTTTCTTGCTTTTATGGTCACCTCTCCTCCCTGTATATTTCCTTTTTCATTACTGCCTTCGTTACTCATACCTTTCCATTTGAAGTCTGTGTCACTGCTGCTTTCCTAATCCCATTCAGGTTTTTTTCCATGTCTCTCTTTTTCTTGCCATTTCTGTTTTTTGGCTATCGTAGGTATCCCTCCCTGCTGACTCCAATTTATCATGCTAGAAAATCAAAACTAACAGCATATCTGTAGTTATTCTTGGCTGTGAAAACAATCCCAGTGATTACTTCTGTGGTTACAGCTTATTGTATGTGACTGAAGTTGCTGACTGAGGTCCAAATGAAGTATTAGTTTTTTCATTTGTATTATTTTGTTACCTCCTCAAATTCTCTCATGTCTATCTTCTTTTGGGTTCCATTTTAGGGGATAGTATAGTCCCCCAAAATAAAGGTAAGGACAAGAGCAATAACATGAGTTTAAAAATACAGAGTTATAATGAGCATGATTTGTTTGTAAGACAATGAAGCTATCCAGTGACTCTTAAAGTGTGGTCCTTGGACCAGCAGTATCAGCATTACCCAGGAACTTGATAGAAATGCAGATTCTGTGGATAGAGCAATGTGTGTTTAAACAAGCTCTACAAGAGATCTCTCTCTATGCTAAAGTTTTAGAATCACTATCTAGATGTTAATTAAGGGAATGTTGAGAGTGGAGACCTTGGTATTCTTCTCAATTACTGCAGATTTAACTCTAATTCCTAGACTTAACTGTTTTAGGTTGATTAATCTCTTTTACATTGTCTTTATTTATTTTTAAAGGTACACCCAAATTTTTGCCAAGGATAAACTGCAGGTTTCTAGTATATAGAAACACTCTATTCAGATATATTGTCAAAGGTTAACAATACCTTTTGTAGTCATTCTAGATACTCCCTTCTGTTTTTTCCCAAGTCTTTGTTCTCTGCTTTTTTTGGTCTCTGATAATTCTATTGATATCTTTTCTACTCTAGCCTAGAGCTTCTTTCTTCAACCATGCCCAGTCTACTAATAAGCCCATCAAAGGCATCTTCATTTCTGTTACAGTGTTTTTGACCTCTAGCATTACTTTTTGGTTCTTTCTAGGATTTCCATCTCTCTACTTAACATTGTTCTGTTCTTGTATGCTGTCTACTTTATCCATTAGAGTCCTTAGCATTTTAATCATCATTATTTTAAATTCCTGGTCTGATAAAACATTTCTTTTGGTACTGATGCTTGCTCTGTCTCTTCAAGTTGTGCTTCTTTTCCTTTAGTATGACTTGTAATTTTTTATTTTTTTAAATAATTTTTTATTTTTTTAATTACAGTTGACATACAATATTATATTAGTTTCAGGTATAACACCCAGTGTTTAGGCATTTATATAACTTATGAAGTGATTACCCTGATAAATCTAGTACCTATCTGACACCATAAATAGTTATTACCATATTGTTGACTATATTTCCTATGATGTGCTTTACATCCCACTGACTGTTCTGTTAACTACCAATTTGTACTTTCCCTTCACCTTTTTCATCTGTCCCCTCAAAACCCCTCACATTTGGCACCCATGAAAATGTTCTCTGTATCTATGAGTCTATTTCTGTTCTGCTCATTCATTTATTTTGTTTTTTAGATTTCACATATAAATAAAATCATCTGGCATTTTTCTTTTTCTGTCTGACTTTTGACTCAGAACAATATTTTCTCAGTCCATCCATGTTGTTGCAGGTGACAAGATTGTGTTATTATTATGACTGAGTCATATTCCGTTGTATATATGCATCACTTCTTTATCCTTCATCTACTGATGGACAGACACTTAGGTTACTTCCATATCTTGGCTATATTATAATGTTGCATTGAACATATGGATGTATATGTATTTTCAATTTATTCTTTTGAGTTAATTTGGATAAATACCCAGAAGTGGAATTGCTGAGTCCTTCCTTATCTCGTGTTATAGACTTTGTTTTAAAGATTATTTTATCTGGTATAATTACTGCTACCCCAGCTTTTTTTTTTCATTACCATTTTCATGAAATATCTTTATCCATCCCTTTACTTTCAGTCTGTGTGTGTCTTTTGATCTGAAGTGAGATTCTCGTTAACAGCACTTGTTACCCATTTAGCCACCATGTCATTTGATGAAAACATTTAATCCATTTGCATTTAAAGTGAATGTTGATAGATACGTATTTATTGCAATTTTATTATTCATATTTTTTATTTTTTCTTCTTTCTCTTAATTTTTTTTAAATTTTAAAATCATGTTTATTGTTATACTTGTCTCATTTTTTTCCCTCTTTGCCCTCCTCCACTCATCCCACCTGCCCCCCTCTCTCACAGTCAATTCTCACTCTGTTGTCCATGTCCATGGGTCATTCATACATGCTCTTTATTTAGTCCCTTCTCATGCTTTCCACCATTGTCCTCCTTCCCCATCCCCTCTGGTCACTTTCAGTCTGCTCGGTGTTTCTGTGCCTGTGGTTTATTTAGTTCGTTAGTTTATTTTGTTGAATAGATTCCACTTATAGGTGAGATCATATGGTATTAGTCTTTCACCAACTGGCTTATTTCACTTAGCATAACATTCTCTAATTCCATCCATGTTGTTGCAAAAGGTAGGAGTTCATTCTTCCTTTCTTTTTATTTTTTAAATGCAAATTTTACTTATTTATTTTTTAAATGTCAAAATCCATTATAAAATATTAAAAAATTGAAAACCATTATAAAGTCTCAGCAATTAAAACAACATGACACCAGCACAGAGATAATCAAGTAGATCAATGAAATAAAGTGAGCATTGTAGAAACAAATGTATATATTTGTCTAACAATGTAATATAAGATTAAATTGATATTTCAAATCAATGAGGAAAACATGGTTTATTTAGCAGATAAGATGCATGGGCCACTATTACTTGAAATAAAACAAATATAGAACCCTATTTCACACATTATACAAAAAATATTCAGGTGAGTTAAAAATCAATATGTAAAAATCTAAGGAGTTTTGGGAGAAAATACAAACTAATATTTTTCTTACCCTGAAATAACATATTCAAATCCAGAAGCTATAAAGTAAAATATTGACAATATGACCATATTAAACATTTAAGGCTATATAGTAATATACATATAAAAAAGGTTAAAGGACAAGTAATAGAATAGAAAAGTATTTGTAACACATCTAAAAAAGGGTTAATAGTCTTCGGGGGTTTTTTAGGGCAATAATTCTACAAACATTTAATCAAAAAGTGGATAAAGAATACCAAAAAGCCATTTAAAGCTTTTTAAAATTAATAGAAATAAGCAAGAAAGGTACAAAAACAGGTTTAATTTCAACAAATAATAAAGGAACAATTAAAATAACACATCACAGTCACAATCAGATTAAGTACTAAAAATATTAGTAATATCAAGTATTGGTGACCGGTGAGAGGAACTGGGTATTCATAGAATCTTTTTCTTTACCTGCTTAAAGCAGTCCCTTTAGCACATCTTGCAGTGCTGGTTTGGTGGAGGTGTATTCTTTAGCCTTCTTTTGCCTGGGAAACTCCTCGTTTCGCCCTCCATTTTAATCGTGAGCCTTGCTGGGTAGAGCAGTCTTGGTTGCAGGCCCTTGCTTTTACTTTTCATGACTTGGAATATTTCTTGCCATTCCCTTCTGGCTTGTAGTAGTTCTGTTGAGAAGTCAGCTGCTAGCTGTACTTGGACTCCCTTGTATGTTACTATCTGCTTCTCTGTTGCTGCCTTTAGGATTCTCTGTTTGTCTTTGATATTTGCCATTTTAAACATGATGTATCTTGGAGTGGGCCTCATTGGGTTCCTCTTGAATGGGACTCTCTGTGCTTCCTGGCCTTGTGTGACTTTTTCTCTCCTCCAATTAGGGAAGTTTTCCATCATGACTTTTTCAAACAGGTTCTCTATCCTTTGCTCCTCTCCTTCTGGTATCCCTGTTATATGGATATTATTACATTTCAGGTTGTCCTACATTTCCCTAAGCTCCTCTTCATTCTCTTTGAGTCTTCTTTCATTTTCTTGCTCTTTCTGGGAGCTTTTTCCTACATTATCCTGCAGCTTACTGATTCGATCCTCTGCTTCATCTAGCCTGCTTTTGATTCCTTCTGTTGTGTTCTTCAATTCAGAAATTGTATTCTTCATTTCCTCTTGTCTCTTATTGATAGTTTCTATGTTCTTTTTCATGCTGATATAGTTTGCAGTAAGTTCCTCATATTTTCCCTGTAGGTTTTTGTAATTCTCTCTGAGCTCACTGAGCTCATTGAGCTTCCTTAGAACTGTTGTTTGAAACTCAGTATCTGATAGTTTACTTCCCTCTATTTCATTTCGTTGTCTTTGTGGGGATTCCTCTTTTCTCATAGATTGGGCGGGGGGGGGGGGGGGTGTTTCTTTGTCTTCTCCTTTTTTGTGAGACTTCCTTTTTGCTTTTGTTTCTTGAGTTGGTCTTTCTTGACTTCCTGACTTTGTGGTGTGAACTTCTGTGGTAAGAGACTGCTGTTTTTTTTCTTTCTGGA